CAAAATTTTTCTAATAAGTTTCAAACTAAAACATGATTAACTACCCCCTACCCTTTGTAATATTAAGCAATATTAACTTTATAACAGAGTATTATGTAAATATGTTCAGGTTCAATCATATTTTAGACATATCAATTGAATTTCATGCAAGAGTAAGAGTTGACAGGCTCGGCCCTGAGATTTCTGGAGCCCAAAGCCAATAATCAACTAATAAATTTTTAGGATCTTTCACATTTTTTTTTTCATTGAATGAAAAAAAAAAAATTGAAGGTAAGGGACAAAAGATTTGTGTCAAAATCACAAAAAATTTCTTTCTTGATCCACCAAATTTTCATTCTTATTATCCACCAAATTTTCATTCTCCTTATTCATCAAAGTTTCAAATTCTTCATTATTCAAGTTTTTAACGGATTGTTCTGCTTATTTGTCACTCGTAAAAAACTTATTAATAGCTCCTTTTTGATACTCAACTAATTTTTCGACTCTTTGCTTCTTTTTCTTTTTTTGCGAATCCAGACAAATAATTTCTTTTAAGAGTCATGATGATGAGCTAAAATCAAAATATTTTTTTAGATCAAAATTTAAAACAAGAGCAGCACCACCACTTAACAAAACACAAAACTTTTAAATTATGTGATGTGAACTATCAAACTTAAACAAATTCTTCTTGATGATGTAAATACCAATATTATAATAGCAATTGAGCAAAAGACAAGACAAATATTGAATTAATTGAATAGAAAAAAAAAACCCCCTACTTGTGCTTGCTGTGCTGCTGTTGCTTTGTGTGCTTTGTTTGTGTGCTGCTACTTCGTTGCTTTGTTGGGCTGCTACTGTCAAACTATTGGGGAAATTGGATTAAGAGTAGTTAAGGTTAGGAACTTAGGAATTAGTTAGGAGGGGGCCTTTCAAACTACTGTCAAACTGTTGGCCCTTAACTATTAGGAATTAGGAATTAGGAATTGGATTAACTGTTGAGCCTTTCAAACTGCTGCTTTGTTGGGTTGCTGCTGTCAAACTGTTAGGCCTTTCAATTTTTTAATAGATCAATTTAGGAGAACTTACTGATAAATCCCATGTACAAAGTTCAAGACCCAGCTAATCCTCAAACAAAACACTTGCACCAATTAGTCTTATACATTTTTAATTGTTACCAAAAAATCCTATTTTTTTTAAAAAAAAAAATTTACAGACACTGTTACATCTTACTACTGTCGAACTTCCGTCAAATGGTCGCCGGAGACTCGTCGGAATGTTCAATATCGCCGGGAAATCGTCGGAGCATCACCGGGAAGTCGCCGGAGTTTCGCCAAAAGTTCAGCGGAGTGTTAAGAACGTTAATGGAAGTCGCACGGAATGTTCAGAATGTTCACTGGACGTTAAGAACATAACTGGAGACCCACCGGAATGTCTAGAATATTGTCGAAAAAAAAAGAATAAATGGAGAAATTAGAGCAAAAAAAACATAGCAAAACGTGCTAAATATTGATAAACTAAAAGGAAAAAAAAAATGAAACGACAAAAACAGCAACAATGAGAAAAACATATGCTATTTTTCAATTTTTGTAAGATTCAAGCAAATAACTGGAGACCCACCGGAATGTCTAGAATATTGTCGAAAAAAAAAGAATAAATGGAGAAATTAGAGCAAAAAAAACATAGCAAAACGTGCTAAATATTGATAAACTAAAAGGAAAAAAAAAATGAAACGACAAAAAACAACAACAATGAGAAAAACATGTGTTATTTTTCAATTTTTGTAAGATTCAAGCAAATAATCTCCATTATTGATCAAACTGAAAAGTAAGTTTTGAAACTGTAAAATGTTACAGTTTCAAAGCAAAAATCTATTATGCATTTATCCTTATTAATCAAACTAAAAAACACGTTATGAAACTGTAAAATTTTATAGTTCTAAAGAATGTTATAAAACTGCAAAATTTTATAGTTTTATACCATAATTCATTCCAACACCCAAAAAATTTGAAACTGCAAAATTTTACAGTTTTAAATCATGATTCATTCCAGCACCAAAAAAAAGGTTAAAACTGCAAATTTTTACAGTTTTTATCGCCTGTAACTAAAACTCGAAAACTACTTGTTCAGAATATAAAAATTTTCTCCATTAGAACAGAAAAACAGAAGTGTATAGTAGAGAAAATAAAAAATAAAAAAAAGAGATCGAAGGAGAAAGGCGGATACAGAGAGAGGATTGTACTCTGGTAACTATTTTTTGTTTAGATCTAGCCAAATCTGATGTAGATCTACTCAGATCTGATGTAGATCTAAGTAGATGTACATCAGATCTGAGTAGATCCACTCACCTTCTTCGTTGAAAATATATCATCTTCGCCGTCGGTGAGGGTGAAGTCATGAGTTGATTTCGATGGTTGGTGGTCTTCGGTGAATCCCGATCAATGGAGAAAGACGTGATCACCGGTAGTCATCCATGACAAAGAAGATAAGAGAAAAATGCAAAAAAAAAGAGAGAGAGGAAAACGTAAAGAGTTAGGCAAAAAGCAAAGAGAGAGAGAAGAAAGTAGGACTTTTGAGTCTACTCAAAAAGTTGCTGGATTAAATAGTGTCCACATGTTTCACATAGGACATATGAGTAATTTCCCCATCAATTTATTTTAAGTCAATTTGGGCATTTTAAAATTTTTTTTAGACTTAAAACATACTTAATATATTATATTAAATTATAATAAGAGGAGACTCATTTTTTGAGTCTATTTTGAGGTACCCTAAGTCATGGCTTGGTGGGTGGGCCTATGCCCAAAGCCAGGCTTGAGAGTTGATCATGTGGGTTAGGTGTTCGCTTACCATGTGTAATGAGATTCTACTCTTACGTGACACAACTTCCCTAATTTCCTCTCAACAATTGTTTAAAATAAATAAAAAGAAAAGAAAAGAAACTCATATATGCTTGTCTGTGGTTTAGAAAGGTTACACGAATAGGGCATGACAGAAATACCTAACAGGCCTCTCGAGGAAGTTTGGAAAGTTACAATCAAAGTCAAAAAGGCAAAAATTTTCTTTCCTCTCTACTTTTTGAGAAATTTTATTTCTATACACATAGTTATCTCAGTGCACATCATTTCTCAATGCATATATTTAAATAGTTTGATTATTAATTTTTATTCTTATTTCACACACCAATTATACCAATCGTACCCTTAACTTATATATTGTACACATACCACCTCAACTCTCTTTCTACATACCTATTCAAAGTTGAAGAGCAACGTCTCCCCTATTTCGGTTCATAGTGAAGAGTTCAACAACGAAGAGAAACTCTATTGAACAGAATGAAGACCTGAGATCTTCCATTGAAGAACCTCCATTGAAGATCCTTTTCCTCCATTCGACACTCCAGTTCTGAAATCTGTTGAAGATAACTATTACTTTGTTTTGATTTCGTTATATTTGGTACCATATCATTTTCTCTGTCAAGTGCATTGACAAATTAGAAAAAATCCTCGTTTTTCCCTTGAAAAGTTGTGATTTTGGATATTTGGCACTGATTTTCCGAAATTTATTTTTTAATTTGATTTTCGAATAATATTTATTTTTTCGACAATGATTTTTTTGACACTGATTTCAAAATAAAATTTTCAATTCGACAGTTGAGATTCGAATGTTTTACCATATTTAGGTACTACCAAATATGTTTCACAAATGGTCAATATCTCAACCAATTCAACAATTACCATTCAAGATAGAGAAATCAAGGTCGTTCGCTTTCGAGATAGAGTCAGGGACATCATGGGTAGCAGACATTAAAAAACCATCATCAGCACCGGCGGTGATGTTTGAGAAGCCATTGATGAACATGACTTTCAAGGACTTGATTGATGCCATGTCACACTTCGGAAAAGAGTCACTGATAGCAGAGGGAAGGTGTGGGCCAGTGTACAAGGTAGTGTTGCCGGGTGATTTACACGTGGCGATCAAGGTGGTGGAGCAAGCAAGAGTTGATGATGATGAAGCTGTGAAGATGTTTGAAGAGCTAGCGAGGCGATGATGATGAAGTTAAGGTTTAGTTTTTTTTTACTCAAAAGGTGGATATTGAGATTTTTTTTATTTTTAAAAGATGTGTACAGAGAATATTTTTATATAACATTATGGGTGTTTGTAGATGTCCATTATGATAATTTTAGTTTAAAATATAATTACCATTAAAATAATATTTCATTAAGTGTATGCACTGAGGTAACTACGCGTGTAGAAATAGAATTTCTCCTATTTTTCTTACACTTAATTTTTTTTTTTTGGTGTAAAAAATCAAAAAATCATCTTAAACACTATTTTCACCTCATATGTTAATCAAAAAATCAAAAAATTATTAAAATAACATATTTCCATAGGTGAATTTCGATTTCCACATAGATTGCATCGGAATGGTGGCATTATTTCTCTGACCATTTTCGAAATGTCCAACCCTTTGCTACTTGTGATCTAACATTTTACATCATTTTGTCTAGTAGGACACAAAACAAGAAGGTGAATGTGCCAAGAACTTGAATAATTATGCCAAAAAGACATATATTTGATGGAACGTGTGAGAATAATTATTAAAAAAAAAAAAAGAAAATAAAAAGAGTAACGTTGCCAAAAAAAGAAAAGAAAATCTAACCAATGAAGCCAAAAGTACACAGATGGGTAAACCTCCAAAGAAGGAGGATAATGATGATAATTAATAAATAATAGACTCATGATGTTCCCAATAATGAAAAATAAATAAATAAAGACAACACCTCCAGCATAACTATTTGGGTACAAAGCAGTTAATGCATGATGATTGATGAGTATGAACATTCAAATGGGTGAGCATAAGATTTAGCCAAAAAAAACCCAACATGATAAACTCTGACAATTCAAAAAGCTAGTAGTTGAACAATCAAAATAGAGTTCTGGATCTTGAAAAAAATAATATGGACCTTGAAAATGAATAAATTATAATCAAAACATCTACAAAGGTCAGTAATAATATAGCCTCAGAAGAAAATTGTAGTATATTTACATATAAATTATGTTCTGAACATCATGAACTTCCACCTAACAAGAACTCTACCACATCTCTTTACCCAATGCAATTGACCATTTACACTTGTTTTATTTTTTTATTTACAGACTGAACCTTAAAAATGTACATCAAAAAAGAATAATCCTATTATGACTCAACCGTGAAATTACAAATTGCAAGCCGAACATACATAGAGAAAATAGACAAGCAAATCGTATTCCAACAGGAGAATTGAACTTCGTGTTTATTTACAATTATTAGAAGCTCCACGTAGAAAATAATAACAAAGATGTCTTCTTTTCCAAATTGGGATTACCTCAAGAAAAATACGAGGATGCTAACCCACTGCGCCTCTCTGCAAATACAGCGTTACAACTCATGAGAAATTGCTTGGAAATTTAGTAACTTGATGTCACAGAAAAAAAAGTATATCAAGCAATGGTTCTATACCTCCAGTTGTGATGAGCTTTTCAACACGTGAAACGATATGTTTACCATAAGTGTACCTCTTCAGTGCAGTCAAGTGGACCTTGATGCGAGAGAGAATTAATTCACGGCTTTGATCATCACAGGTCTCAAGAACCTTCTGCACAACATAGTTTCCGAAGGGATCTTTCATCATGGCCTGCATTTGCAATTTTAACAGTTTCATCAGTTATTCAACAAGAACTACCAGTACATGACACACAGAATTAATAACAGGAGCTTCAAATCTGCCATTGAGAAAATGAATTACAATCGAACTAAGCTCATAACATAATTATATTTTACATTCTATTGAAAGAAGGATATGAAATCATTCATTCATATGAACCTGAAGCTATATTATAATGTATAGCGCCTCAAAATTAATTGGAAGTACGCTACATAACCCAAGAAGCATGGATACGCGACACATAACCCAACAACACAGATACGACAGAGATATGCCGACAAGACAATTTTCAAAATTTGAAGGGCACAACACGTGCGTTACCTACACAAATTATATAATTCTATATATTTATTATACGTTTATGAATATTTCATTCAAAGATTATAAAAAAATGCAGCATAACACTAATTCTTAAAGTTTAGCAGGTTTAACGAGTATAAATTTACATTATTTTTTAATTATTGTTGTATCCTTTAAGTTATTTTCTTTTATCATTAACTTCCTTTGATCTCTCAAAATTTAGTAACATTTTTTTTCTTTTTTTTGGGTAAGTAGACAAAACCAACATAGGGGAGTATGGTTTTTCACATAATCTACTGTAGAATTTGAATGGCAAGAGATGGTCAAAAACCTGTAAGGGCTCATTTTCATCAGTGGAACCAAGCATTTCATTCACCAAAAGTTGACGCTCTCCCGGACCACCAAAAGTTAAGTGCTTTGCCAGATACAGATTCGCCACCTAAATATTTTATTTTGGGAGAATTTAGGAAACCCTGACTCGTGCCTAAGGCCACGTGTCCGTCATCACCAAAGTTTCCTCGGCTCGGGAACTTGGGTACGATTGGGGAAGGTCATTTCATAAGCACCCCCGCTCACCCGATCGAAAATCGGCCACTACTAAGCATGATATCGAGTTTTTGAAAATACATGTGCTCTTATTCCGGTTTATTAGCCTAGAATTGCTATGTGATACGCACAACATACAAGTATAGGTTGGATTGTCTAAGTTAGAACAAAGCATCGCATATCCGTTTGTTTTTGAAAATTGATTGAAGTTTGCTACTCGCAAGTAGACTAAAACACAGGTTTCGACGAATTATTCCAACTCAAGCAACCCAACCTTCACCCACAGGCATTCAGGCAGTTATATCACATAAGCACATAGCCTCATGGTAAGTATGCTATCATGGCAGGCACTCACACACATGCAAGGATGCTAAAGCGTAAACACTTACCGAGTACTCCGAGCAAAAGAAAGAAGCTAATTAGAAATCATGCACGAATCCTAACTATGCTAAGAATGCCTAATGCAACACGTGCAAAAATGCAACTACAATAGGCTCGGCTATTCTAAGATGGCATATGAGATGTAACAATCGATACATGTATTCAACTTGGAATTGAAATACAATGCAGTTAGCATGATGCGCCGAGTCCGGTGCATGCAATATAGATGAATGGATACAAACATGCGAACATATAGATGCTAATTGAAACATGCCCTGAAACTAACCATCATAAGCTGGTAAATAAAAGGGAAAAAGACGTGGGGTTGGAAGACATGTATCACACACACACACACTTATTATAAAGTTTGCCCTATCACGGAGGGTCCGAATAAATATTACACAACCAAAATGAATAACTAATTATTACATAACACTAGCTAATTAACAAATTAACTAAGAAAGCGAGTAAACTAGCATGCAATGCTACATGAAGTAGACTGCTTCAGCTCTGTTTGGAATGATGACAGATGCATGCATGCTCGAGTCGCCTTGTCAGGAAATCCATCGCGATGCCCCGATTTGCCTCTGTTTGCAACTGGTCCCAGAACACTGTACAAAGTTCCAGAAGGCTGCTGACCCGTTTTTGCTACTGGTTTCCAGTTTGCTGCAACAGAGAGGGAGAAAGGGGCATAGCAAAGTATTTTCAACATATGTGTGCATGACCACTCTCCCCATCATTGCACAAGCTCCAGGGAGTGTAGTCCTCGAAATGGATGCACAAATGAAAACAATAAGGCCTAAACTCCATCATGGGTAATCCGGAGTGTCGGCGACCAAGAATCGAAGCACGTTTCATCACTTTGGGTACGAAACTTCCCTCATTTCCCATGTTTGGACTAAACCCTACTCCAAACACAATGCAATGCACATGGCATGCATAAATGCAACTCAAACATGCAACCTAAACATAATGCCACTAAATGATGCAAACATGGAAATGATGATATGCAAACATGCTACTAGTATATACAATGCTATGAAATAATCAATGGCATACTCAATGCACATGAAAACTATATGGCATATGCAATGCACACATGGAGACTAACAATGAAATGATCAAGGCATACACAATGCAATGGTCAATCATGTAACAACATGGACTAAATGGCATATACAATACAAGATGGACTTAAACCAAGATAGGTGAGCCTCAGCCACACCTAAATCAGTGGTCAAACATGATGAAATTAAAGGCAGGAACACTCATGCAAACATGCCCGATGCAAGGGACCGAACCTAAGGCATCAAATGCCACTCTACCAAAGCATGGCAAGGGGTGAAATATGGCATACAATCATACATTTTTCAGCTCTGAAATGACATGCAAGATGGCCCCGAATCATGCAAACACTTCATACAATGCATGCTAGATGGCCCGAATACCGAAACTAGCAAAGCGCATTACATTAGAGGTACACAAAGCAATGCTCAAATGACCCAACCAGCCCCAAACAGTCCCTATGCAGGTCCTAAACAGTGAGAAAATGATAGCTCAAAATGCAAAGAAATGGGGCTCATGCAATGGTCCAAAAATGAGGCATACAAGCACGACTCTCAAACGCATTCAAACAGTGGAAAACATGGGAATATGGCATACATGTAAGCTCTAAAATATGATGTACAATGGCCCCACAACATGGAAACACCTCAACACAAGCATGCAATAGGCTCTACAACTCAAAGCTAGGCAAGGGTATTGAACTACAACCATGTATGGCAAGCATTATTCGACCATGAGGCATAAAAACAGAGCTAAGGCAATCCAAAACATGTACAAAATCAGTTTAAGACATGGCCAAAAAGTGCTAGAATCAAGGACCAAAATAGCATGCAACACAAGCTAGTAAAGGGGATTTGCACTCCAAGTATGTGAGGCAATAAAGAGGCTACCAAACCAGCAAAAGTCAGAGGTATGACATGCCAAATAAACCCCAAAAATCCACTGAAACATGGTCTATGCATGCAAGAATGATAGGCTCCTTTGATAAGCTATAAAGGGGGTTGTTCTACACATGCAAGAGGGACACCTAATATGGAAAAACCACCTCTGGACAGAGGTTATGCAAGCCAAAAACTCACTGAAAAAGGCCTGAAATGAGGCTTGGAAGCATGCACACATGGGCTCCCCTGTTAGGCCAAAATGCTAGTAAATAAGACAAGAGGTGAGAGGGTCACCCCTCTCTGATTTTGGGGCTCAAAACAGCATGCTAGCCACTGAAAATCCATTAGATTTCAGTGGCTAAAAGGCCAAACAAATCACAATACAAAGGCCTTAATGCATAGCTCAAAACAAGATAAAAATAAGCATGCAAGGGGGTAGATGACCCCCAGTAGAAAAATGACCTTAAACAAACTTGTTAAGAAGCTCAAAAAAAGACTTTTTTCAATTTACACCAAAGCTCAAATATGCTTGCAAGTATGACTAAAATAAGGATAAAAATGATGCTCAAAAAGGGAGAAAATGGTTACCCTTGTGGCACAGCAAGAACTAGCAACCTCTGGACCCAAAAAACCAATCCCTTAGCCTCTGAAAATGGCCTCCAAGATGCTTAGAGTGATGGTGGAGGGGTTAGGCTAGGAGATGGTATGCAAAGGGGTCAAGAGCTCACTTTTTTAGGGCTCAAAGAGAGAGATACAAAGAGGGATGCATCTATGAGCCTTCACCAAAAATATGAACCCTTGCAATAGAGAGGGAAGGCTTCCTTTATAGACCAAGGAGGCCAAAGCTTCTCCAAGAAGCCAAGAAGCAAGGCCAAAGATCCTTCATACACGTGTATGGAGGATCCAGTTTGTGCCCTCCAGCTGGCACAGCTGGAACCAACTCACAAAGACAAAGCTGCAGAGAGCTAGCCGACCAGTTCAAGTGGTCGGCCGACCACTTAACCTGGTCGGCCGACCAGGTCAAAAGGTCTAAGGTGGTCGGCCATCCCCTATGATGAAGCCCCAGAAGTTAGCTTTCCAATGGCACCAGCCTTACATTAAAATTCCAACTGTGCAAAAAGTTATGTCTGTTTTGGTAAAGCTGCACAGATTCGGTCCAACCGGATTAATACCCTACTTCAACCAACCATATCTCCCCCATCCGGACTTGGCTTTAGGAGATTCTTGAGTGCAAAATGAAGCCCCGGAAGTAAGCTTTCTAATGGTGGTGGCCTCATAGCTGAAATCCAAGTATGTAAATGAATAGACCCGATTCAACAAGGGCTGCATGACTCTCTCTTAACGGTTCATGCCCATTTTCTCCCCCCAACTGGATTTCTTCCCTCTTCTCCTCTTTTCTTCAACTCCAAACCCCCAAACAAAGTGTTTTGAAAGATTTTTCAAAGATTTCATCTCTCTTTCATTCATTTCCACTTTGTCCTTGCTCGGTTTACCGAAAAACGCAATATTTAACGAAATGCAAGCGTCGGAACATCGTAGGAACTTTATTTTCAAAACATCTTGAAAGAGAGGGTTTCAAGGTCTAAAATATTTTGATCAAGGTTGTTTTGGTCCAAAAGGGGTATGAAGTTGAGATTTGACTCTCTCCTTGCCGAAGAATCTGAACCTTTGCCTTGCACACCTTTCTCCACCAAGTAAACCATCAATAGTGCCCAAGTCTTAAGGGCGGTCAAAAATGGGGTGTCTACAGCCCCATTGCCCAGGACCGAGGTGATTCTATAAGTTCCCTCCCAGTTTAGGCCAAGCTTGCCCTCTCTGGGATCCTTCTTATTGCCGACGACTTTTCTCAGGACGAGGTCCCCAATTTAAAATTCTCGTGGGTTGACCTTCTTGTTGTAAGTCCTAGCAAGCTGCTGCTGGTATACCCCCAGCTGAATTACTTCTTTCTCCCCTTTTTCTTCTAATAGGTCTAGATCTCGAGCTAAAAATGCATCATTAGTCCCATTCTTTACTCCTTGGGTTCTGAACCCTGGGATGCCGACCTATAATGGGATTACTGCCTTTGTGCCATAAGCCATGGCAAATGGGGATTCCCCAGTTGATCTTCTCGGCGTAGTCCGATATGCCCAAAGTACATTGGGCAACTCATCTACCCACTTTCCTTTTGCTGCTTCCAGCCTCTTCTTAATTCCATCTAAGATAGTTTTGTTGGATGCTTCTGCTTGTCCATTGCTTTGAGGAAAACTTGGAGTGGAATAGTAGTTCTTGATTTTGTACTTTGCATAGAAGCTCTTGATTAGCTTACTGTCAAACTGCGTACCATTGTCTGCTATTATCGCCTTTGGGATCCCAAACCTGGTGATGATGTTCCTCCATATAAAGTTATTTACATCAATATTCCGAATCTTAGCAAGGGGTTCAGCTTCTACCCACTTGGTGAAGTAATCTGTTGCCACGAGCAGGAACTTTCTTTGTCCGGTCGCTTGAGGCAGTTGTCCAACAAGATCCATGCCCCATTGAGCAAATGGCCAAGG